CAACTCAATCTCCAGGCCTTTCAACCCACAGCAGGGTAGCTGTTCGACGCTACTATTAGACGGATCCAGCGAGCCGTGGGGCGAGCATCATCAGCATCAGCTGGAAATCTTTTCGGACATACAACTCAATCTCCGGGTCTTTCAATCCATAGCAGGGTAGCAGTTCGACCGTATCGTTGGCATGGACCTGTCCCTCCCGTGTTGGTGAGACCCTTTGAGCTTCGGCACTGAGCAAGCTGTTGCAAGGCCGGGCATCGGTGTGGAGAAATGGGCCCTCCTACATTCAGATCACTGGTTCTATCACTATGCCACTACAGTACGTGGTCCCAAGCAGGAGCTGCAGCCGAACCAAGCACGCAGGTGGGTAGTTATGTGGTCGACCAGCACAACATCAAAACCAGTATTATGCATGGTGGCCGATGTTCCGGTCGGTGAACAACAAGCAGCAGGAAAGCGAACATGAATGTGTGGAGTGCACGCGTGCACCTGTGTGCCTCCACGTCTGCATGAATAAACGACTGAACAAAGCAACGGAAGTCTGCACGTCTTGACTGTATCTGCACGTTGAAGATTTCCCTCCGTGCACATTCATGTGCAAATGTTTGCGAATGTCAGCATTAGATCATTTATCTGCAAGGATCGATGCCCCCGCGAATTTTTTCAAGCTTCGTACTTTCGTACGTTAATTTTGGCGCACTTGGACCCTTAGACTGCACACGTTGCCCAGCCCACGAAATAGAGTGGAGTTGACTGTTTCGTATATAGTGCAGCTTGCCGCCTTTTACAATTTACAGACAATACGTCCGACTGCTGCTGCGCTTTGGCGTCTCCGGGCCTGCTGGATTATCCGGGTCCGTAGATGGTCCAGGGTATGCTGCACCTCCGCCGGCTCCTCTCACACAAAACGGCTTTTCAAACAGTGCAATCGAGTGCAGGTGGTGCTTTTTCGGCTTCTGGGAACAGGTGAGCGCTGTGAGGCTCCAGCAGAGGGGTCGGCTTAGCCGTTGAAACTTCCGAGGGCCAGGTCCCGGTTTGTTCTGGGAGAATCCTGGCATAGTTGGTCCCCAGACTGCATCGACTTTGAGGAAACTTCTGGGGCATCGATCCGTATACTCTCCATGATGCAAACCATGCCAAACTATAAGCTCATAGTCCTATTGCATGTTACAGAACCAGAATGACGTTGCGCATGGGAAGGCTCAGTCCTGGGTGGATAGCCTGCAATTACATTTAAAGCCCCTCAGTCGCGGAGTCGAGTTCTGGGCTTACATGTCCTGTGCATCCTCCGCTGCCAAGTTTTGGAAGGCTCCGAGGATGGAGACGGCAGAGCCACCTGTGCGCTGTGCTTTTTCTATCTTTGGCTTAAGTCTTGGTCGTAGAATATGCGTTTGTCATCGCACGACCAGAACGAAGAAGTGCAGGCAAGTGCCCAGCGTGAGTAACAGACTCAGGGCAAGGCCGGAGCCTTCAATTTCAAGCTGAGCCAAAACTCTCTACCTCAGACTCCGGTCTGGCGTCCCCGAAGCCCCAAGTCTTGCCATGGCCGGAGACGGCCTTGCAACTTTGTTTGGTGGTGGGAGAGTAGGTGCTCGCAAAGGTAGCGCGGGCGGGCATCCTCCAGGAATACCTCGGCTTCAGCTTCAGCTTAGGCTCTTGCGATGTCGAACATGATGTACTTTTGCCTCGCTTTCAGGACTCCCTTAGGCTTCCAGATCTTGCGAAGTGTTAGGGTGCAGATTCGCACATCCTCTGGGGCAGAGTCGGTTAATGAAACGAAAAGAACTATAATTGTGAGGATCTGGGCTCGGGCCTTCAGTCGCATGCATCCGTCAAGGATTCCTTCTCCTGGAGTATCGAAGATGGCCTGCATCTTGGGGCTTCGCAAGTGAAGCCTGCCTTTGGGCCAAATCGCTGCCAACTCTGCTACGGATGGCCCCTCCTCACACAAGATTGGACCTCAAGACATGATCCAATACATCGCAGCATCAATTTCAAGTTCAGCTTTACAGGGCCGCTGAATGCAGTTTGGATTGCTGCTTTTTTCAAATTTCCCCACAACTTAGACTTAGAATGCCATTCCGGAATCATTCTCCCATCTGCAGGATATGCTAGCATCAGAAATGAAAGAAGCCATGTCATGGAACGAGTTGCTGCGCGAGCAGTGAGAGGCAAAGAATGCGGATTGTGGCCAATGGTGACGCCTCAGGATGTTGCGGCACAGGAAGTGTTGAAAGAAAAGAAGGGTCGAACGCAGACCTTCGCAAAACAACCATTGAATGGTAAACGTGTGGTGCTGCTTTTGCAGCGAAGGCTGGGGGCAAAAGAATGCTGCATAAACCAAGCCATTAAACCATTTTAGGTCATGTGTGCTTTTCTGACAGCCGTTGCAGGACCCTGGGATATGCATGCAAGCCACGAAGATGGCCATCACAGACAGCGCCACATAAAAGCCGCAAAGACAATAAACGCAAGCGCAAACGTAAGTATGGCATGTGCGTCTTATATGCTTTTGTCAGTCTTGGCAGTGGGAGAACAGCAAGAGAAAGACAGCGCGAGAGAGAGGGAGCGAAAACAAACAGGAAAGACAGAAAAAGACTCACCAATGGAACACGAACTCTGCAAATTCTCCAAAAGGCCTATATTACTATGACACTTCTTATTATTCGTCATCTTTGACCGCAGGGACTCTCGCAAGTGGCTCCCAGGGACTGGATTGAGCTCGCCTGTCACTTCTGAGGGTCATCGGTATAAGAGTACTGAGTACAGGCTGAGTACAGGGTTGTTCTGGCAGGCGTTTAGAGAAGCGAAACAGGCTCTTGTCTACAGTATAGTGATTGTGCTTTCCTTTTGATGCCTGGGGCAACCTCCTGCCATGTTTAGTGGAGCCTCGCTACTTGAGACATCGGCTGAATGTACGGGCGAGTGAAGGTCAACTCAAAGATCGTACTTCCCGATACCATGTAGAAAACTATGCGACTGGGAGCCAACGACCTTGTACCAAGCGGTTTCGTTTCGACTACGCTATTCTACCCTTGACGACAGACTGTCAGAGAGCCCCCATGCAAGGAGCCACAGCAGGATTGCGGTTGCAAATGTCCGCCTGGCTGACGGCCATGCAAACGGACCTCCGCAAGATTCAACAAAGGTCACAGTCGATCGAAAACTGGCAGTGCTCTGGCAACCCTAGTACTTGCGGCTAGCGTCGTGACATCATGCAAGCTTGAGGCGTCGTCGTGCCTCCCTTGTGTCGTTGCACTACTCACCCAGCAGATGTCATGGCAGCTCTGTATTTGTTTGCGCGAGCATGTTGACGAACGGAGCATCATGAGCATGAGTAACTCAGCAAAACCTCCGAGCATACATTCTCACAGCTGCCCCTGTAAGGATTCCGGATTGCAGCCCCCGGCCCGGCTTCGAATACTGCTACATGTTTCTAAGAACGTGCAGAAATCGTACTAGGACTCGGACTGCTCCGCTGTGCTGAGAGCGGTGAGCCGCCCATCAGGACGCCCGACAGCAAGCAGAGTCCCCCGGACCACCCGATGTGTCATGCCTGATTGGAGCCAGTATGCAACCGCTGGGACTGTCACGCTTGTCACTGGTGGTTCTTGATGCTGTTGTTGCAGAAGTCGTGATGGGCTTGAGTGCACTATGCTGTCGAGGATGATGATGGCGGTTGTAGAGTGACGGTATGGTGGAAGGCGTAGCCGTTGTACATGCCATCAGTGCACCCGTAGGACTAACGGCAAACCCGAAGCCTCAACGAGACCGACCAGGAGAAATCGCTACTCATCCTACCTCCTATAGCTTAGCCTAAGTGTTCGGTGCCAGGGTGCGGTGCACCAGGTGATCTGCAGGATTGGCTGAGAAAACAGTGAGGCCGGTGGCGCTGTAGGTGCAAGCCATGAGCTTGGAGAGGAAAGATTCCGCCGCTTGAGCAACCCACGGAACGTCACCTTGGACACGTGGCACGTGAGCTTCTGACAAGAACAACTTAAAGCTACGGCAGAACCAAGCGATTGCATCTTAAATGAAGCAGATTGGATGTTGTTGCTGATGCAGTTGCCAAAATGGTGATGGCGATTGTTCCATGCAAGTTCCTCGGAACATGATTAGCTCTATTGTGTGAACAGAAAGGCACCTGAAAAAATACAACACTGAGCTGGTGGGTGGCCGATGACCACCGTGCGTGTCGTCATGCGATGCAGCAAAGGCCGCTGCTGCATGAGGCGGATGAGAAGGATCATAAGTTGAGGCAGGAAGACCTGGGACGGAAAGGACTCCGGCTTCGGGCCGCAAGCATTCATCTATAGAGTCCTGGAGACGGCACGGCTGACTTAAGGCCGATTCAAGACCGCCGTGACTTCAGCATCATGACGCAATCTGATGTGCGCCCCAGATGCGTAGACCGCCGCATCGAGAAGCTTCGCCAAATAGATAAGCTCCTGGTAAACAAGCCGTGGTGCTCAGCTTGCCGTGGGACGGGACATCGACTTCCTACCCCGCTTCGATGGCTTAACTAGTTCCCGTTGTCAGGCAGGGCATGGCCGCGCATTGCACAGGATGGTCAAGCACGAAGCCTGGGCCTAAAAAATTGCAGGGGCTCTGTCTTCAACAATTGATGTGAAGCCATGAAGGATATTCGTTGACGACCGGCCTTTGGCATCAGAGATGTCGACAAAATGCACCTACAGACTGCGAGAGTCTGTGTTCGTGTATAAGGGGAGGGTCAACAAACGTCAAGGTAGTGGATGTCCGAAGCCGGTGATTCGGGCTGAAAGTTGGGTCCAACAGCCCATTAAGCGCAGTGTCTATAGTATATCAGTTGACAAGCTGCTCGCAGCAGTCGGGATACTGGTGGTAGTAGTAGTAGCAGCAGCAGCAGCAGTAGTACTAGTAGCGGCAGTAGCAGCAGTAGTAGTAGTCGTGAAAAGTTGACAGGAGCCCTGGCCGGGAAACGACAAGTCTTCAGCTGTCCTCTTCAAAGAACCGCCCCTGCATGCCAGCTTTCGTTGCGGAAGTCATCGGGGCACTGCCATACACGACAGTGATGAAGATGTACAAGGCAGACAGCATCCAGGCTCGTGGAATCTCCAGAACATGTTGTGCCCAATGTCTCCCAAGAACACGTAGCTCGTTTGCGATGTTGTGATGTTCTGCGCTTCCTGCAATCGCTCGCAGCGCTTGAACGTTCAGGCGGTTGTTCCTCTCCAGCTCGGCAAGGTCAATGCGCTTGATCTTGCTTCCTGCTGCGATGCTCAGTTCCCGGTTCGCCACGATCTTGCTGGCCATGTAGATCCTGACGGCAACGACTCATGCTTGACTGCCATGGGGGCCCAGTGAAACACTCGATCTTGCAGCTCCAACATTAGAAGAACTCCGAACTCGGCTTTGCCGAAAAGTCATGCCGCATGCTGGCACGAAGCAAGATCTGCGTCAGCATCTGGTGAGTTGCAGCCACAGATAGGGAGCAAGGCTCGGCTGGTCGCAGACCAATCTCCGTGCTGAAAACACGCCCGCGGAGGTCATTGAGCTGGCGCAGCTGCTTCCCGATCTGCGTGTCCTTCCACACAGTGTGAATGAAACCCTGACAGTCGCAGTACCTTGGCAAATTGGTGTCAGTAAGATCCGACTAGACTCCAACTAGACCGTCAGAATGCCCCGGTCCCACTCCGAGGTGACCGCAAAGATGTGGGAGGTCATGGACTGCATCAGGTTCGAGATAGCAAGTGGGGCAAACGTGCCACCGCTGTGGCTCACGATCAAGACGATGGAATCCTGGCACATCTGAAGCTCACACGTTGCGAAGCAAGTGTCCATCACTGCCAGATATCGCGTTTACAGAGGTAATTCATGTGTCGCAGAAGCAGAACGAAGCGAACAACGACCACAACTTCTTGCCTTCAAGTCCCAACCCTCGCCGATTTCGTGGCCCGTTTGCGGCATCGGAAACTGCTGCCCGAACCTGGTGTCAGGTGACTGCCACACTAAGTTGCCATGGGAGCATGAATGACGACTGAAAATTGGGAACTGAACCGCACACCAGAAATCACACCATCGAGCCGAGAACCCGCAACGCTAAACCGAATAAGTTTAGCCGAAATCTTCAGCCCAGCGTCAGGCCCAGGATCTTGTTCGCGGAAGCCGATTTGACCACCAGCTTGTGGAAACAAGTCCTGCAAGCATGTAGGGATCAATGTCACAGCGATTTGAGATACAACAGCTGGTGAATTCAATTTTGTGGGACTGCACGGGAGATTCGACTTGAGCGAAAGTCAAGCCGGCCCGGCGCTTAAGTGTGTCGGCAGATTGACTTCTGCACCGGCACCGTGAAATTCCCTTGCAGCGACCGAAGCAAACAAGTTAAATTTGCAACCCTGCTCCTCAGGTCTGCGGCAAATTGCTCGCCGATCCAAAGGCTCACCTCCCACAGCTCTCACAACAGCCGGGACTATCCGGGGCTCAAGGTGTAGCAGAACTCTTCAGGCCTTGGCCTTTCAGTGTCTTTCCAAGTCGGGGCGAGGCGGGGCTGTGATTTTATGTGCTCATTCTGGGTGTCGGGTGGGGTATGCGGCAACACAGATCGTTGGCGAGAATGGCGGTGGAATTGTCTTAGTCCACGATTGAGGGGCCCCTTGAATCAGTGAGTCAGAAACACCACTTCTGACCGTGCCAGAAGGGCGGCGGGTGTCCTGTCGGATACCCACATGACAGCCAAAGGCCTTTTCCGGCGGACTATTTCGATTGTTTTGTGATGAAGCATGTGGAGCTGAAGGCTCCAACTGTTCAGGACCCCAATAGCGTGAATCACAACGCTCCATCCGTGATTCCACCTCGCAGCCGGTCACGAGAACATCCACGGATGTAGCCGGAAGCTGACCGCAGCTTTTTCTCTGTAGCCGGCTCAGGAGCACCTGGGGTCGGCGCTCACACGCCTTTTCCTCCTTTAGGACTTAGGGCACAGTCATCTTTAGAGTCTTTGCGCAGCCATCTGCAAGCTGTACTAAGAAGTTTGCTGGTTCCCACCGCTAGGTTAAGGTGTTGGACCCCTAGTCAACTCGAGAACGTCGACGAAGGTCCGACCCTAGCGCCGCAAGGACGAAAATCCTGGCTCCTCATCACCCTGTCCTGACATTATGCATCATGTGTCCTATACTATACCAGCATCTCATGATAAAACCCAAGTGCACCCTCAGCAATGACTTCGTAACGAGCCTCATATACACTTCGTTACACTACACACACTCGCCAAAACCTCTAAGCCAGGGCCCGACTCCATATGACAAGGCCCTACAAACTGCGAGAACAGCGCCTCGCCAAGAGCCCGGGCCGTGGCGCGGGTAGGGCGGCCCTCCCCCCAGAAGTCCACCTCCGAAAACAAGACAAAACACAGTGAGGGGTGGGGGGTGTTACTGTAGGTGGTCTTCAGGCTTTTACGATTTCACTGCTCATGTCTAAGTAGAGGGCAGCTAGATGTTGAGAGGCTTTCAGCTACAAAGTTGCCCTCGACGTGCCTGGATCTTTGCTACAGCATCTGGGATGTCCGCGATGTCCGCACCAACAGGATCCTCACCATCTAAATCCGCACGTCGAAAACCATGAATGCAGGCGGTGTTTGGTTTCTCCGATCACAGCGGCAGCAGGTCCAGGAACGGTATTTCACAGGGCAACCCTGAAGCTGGAGGATCCAAACGTGAACCTGACATCTTGGCAGATAGGCTCTGGAGCTTCATCGGCATCAAGTCCTGTACGGATTTTGGCAGCTGCTGCACCAAGGGGTTTTCCTCAATCGGCACGAGGCGGCAAGCCAGGCTCTTCTGTGAGAAGCAGTCCTGTGCCAACATGCATGGCTGGTCGTCAGCGAGTCACAGATTCGAAACGCGCTGAAAGGCTGCCCGCAGCTTATTATCTCAAGGCTTGCTTGGGCTGTTGCGGTAGCGCCGACATTGTCGCAGGCAGTCCTGCACAAGGGTGATCGTCATGCTGTGGTTCATCACCTCGGTGCAGATCCAGCCCGTGCCCCCAAACTTGCGATCTGTCGGATCATTTTGCAGGTGCACGCAGAAAGCTCACCGCGGAGAAAGGAACGTGGGATAAGTACCATCATGCTACCAAGCGCTAAGCATCCTTGACTCTGCGGCTGCTCTCACCAAGTTGCAGGTTGGGGGGCAAAAGACCCACTTGCAGACGAGGGTAGGCCGCGGCCCCAATCCTGCGGTGGCACATTCCGGAGTCAAACTCGCAGCTTGTCGATTTTTTCACGGCACTCCTAGGTTCCTATCCATGTAGAAGCTTCTCACAATGCATGGGCAGTTGGACGGGTCTAAAAGCGAGCTGCATTGCAAGCCTGGTCGCGGCCACCTCTTTGAAAGCTGAAACCTCTATGTAGATCCAAGAATGACATGTGTCGGCGCAGAAAGATCACTCTCCCCACCCTCTCTCGGGGTCCAGCAGGCAGATCTCACCTCCAAGGTCATCCAAGTCCAAACGTACTGCCGGACCATCGTTCAAGCGTGACCTCGTGGGCGGCTGAGGCATGAAATGGAAAGAACTACTACTACTACTACTACTACTACTACTACTACTATTTCTACTACTACTACTACTGCTACTACTACTACTACTACTACCACTACTACTGCTACTGCTACTGCTACTGCTAGTGCTATTACTACTACTACTACTACTACTACTACTACCACTACTACTACTACTACTACTACTACTACTACGACTACTACTACTACTACTACTACTCCTCCTACTACTCCTGCTACTCCTACTACTGCCACTACTACCAC